CTTCAAAAACACTCATCAGCAAAAACACCCGAGTAAGATGTCCCAAGGGAAGCACCTCCACCTCGGGACACACCCCAGGCAACAGCGGGAGGGGCCCGCGTGCAGGGCAGCTCCTCCAGGGCCCGTGGAGAGAGCAGGGTCTCCCTGCCACGCTTGGGGTGGAGGCGGTGCTGTGCCCAGCTCCCCTGCGGTCCACCTAGAATCCTCAGCTTTAAAACTCTATTCGCAGCCTAGGAGGAAAAGAAAGCACTGCGAAGAGAAAACAGACAAGAAGGCCAAAATTCAGGTTATGGAAAAAGAGAAATGAATCCTCACAGAAGCAATTTAGACTAGAGGCTTGCAGAGCTCAGGGTTATCCAGAAGAAATGAGATTTCCCATAAGCATAAAACCTATGGTATGGAAATGAAAATGATTGAAGAAGTGTGTATGTATCTCTGTCTCTGCCTGTCTCTGATCTCTGTCTCTGTATCTCTGTCTCTATTTCTGTCTCTCTGTCTCTGATCTCTGTCTCTATCTCTGTCTCTGTCTGCCTCTGTCTCTGTATCTCCATCTCTGTCTTTCTATCTCTTTCTTTCTGTCTCTCTACGTCTCTGATCTCGGTCTCTGTATCTCAGTATCTCTCTGTAGCTCTCTCTGTCTCTATCTTTCCGCCTCTCTGCCTCTCTCTCTGACTCTGTCTCTCCGTCTCTCTCCCACATATGCACACACTCCAAACAAAATGTAGGGCAGGAGAGCTGGATAAATTACTGCACATGTGCTGAGGGAAAAGGCAGATTGATAGGCAGGAGTGGCTAAAAAGCAACCCTGCGATCCCATTGCCAGCAAATCTGCCACTCAAGTTTCTCATCTCATCAGGGCTGGGAAGGAACAGAAGGCTCCACTGTGGTGCTGGCTGTGGGTTTATATGCTGCGGATCCCCGGGGACTGGACCCGGGGCTGTTCTGCAGAAGGCAATTGAAGAAACCACACAAGTGGAGGAAGGTAACAGATGGAAAGAATGCGTCTAAGCAGTTTTCACGCAGGGTTGGGAAAATGAAGCATCTACAGAGGAAAAGGACATGTTTCACAGGCTCAAGGATTTGAGTTTAAGCTGCAATAAAGATGAGAAACAGATAAGGAATTTCCCCAGCTGTTTTTTCTACAGAAATCAGTGTGAAGATCTGAAGGGCTTCGGGACTGACAGCAACTTCCAAGCCACTTCAAGCCACTCCCCATCAAAATGAGGTGAATATCCAAAATATTTCCTCCCTGGAGAGAACTTCTGACAGGATTAGGGAAATGTGAGTTTAGCGACCAAACCAGGACGTGCTGGGAAGCCTCTCCATTCAGTGTGCCTTCCTTCCTCTTCCCCCAACCCACCATCATCACCTGCGAGGTGTGGGCCTTGCAGTGAGATTGAGATTTTCACCCAGCTTTCTTCCTTGAGTCTAAGTGAAGATTGCTCTGTAGACATTAGAATCCACGCGCATAAAAGGCTACGTTGCAGGGGCTGAGGAGGCCGGTGCCATCCCGGGAGCCACATGGCAGAGCCCTCAGAGGAGCTGAGCGAAAGAGCTTCTAGCAAAACTGCAGTTGCCTGGGGGGACTGGCACTAAGATTACCAGAATGCAGCTTTAAGTATAACCTGGATAGGAGTAATTAAGCTTAATATTGCAGAAACAGTATTTTAAAGAAAAAAGATGGACATACGGCCCAACGAAGAGTTTTTTCTGATTTGCAGATTTATGAGTGAAAGTCTTCAAACGAGCCTTGAAGGAAGGAAGGAAAGAAGACAACAGAGGGCATGCTAACAAGCGGATTCCTCTGTGGGCAGCTGGGGCCCCCTCTGGCTGGGCCTCCAGGACACTGGAGGGGCTGCCTCTCCTGAAGGCATGGATGCTGGGCACTTGTCTCTGGCTCATGGCAGCTGTTCTGGTGGCTAGTCCTGATGGTGTCAAGTGCCCTGCACTTCTGGAAAATTACAAGCATGAAACGGAGCAAAAAAGCCCGTGGTAGGGAACCTCAGGTGACTGGAGTATAGACCTTCAGAGGGTTCTGGAAGGGCCGCTCCTGAAAGACTCTTTGCAGCAGCATCTACTATGCACCCATGTAAGGGAGCAGGCTGCATGGTTATTATAGAGTGCCACAATCTCCCCAGCTACCAACAGTCAAGATGGTCCTAGAGCTAGCCAGAGGTACCGTGGACTGGCTGGTTCGCCGTGGTACAGTGGATTGGTTTGGCTGCATTTAAAGCTGGCCCCAGTCCCAGGAAAAAGAGAGAGGCCTGCCTGGCTCTGCTGCCGCCTTCCGAGAAGGGTTGCTCTGTTTCTCTAACAGCTGGTTGGATTCATCTAGATAATTTCCACTCTGCCTTTTTGTCAGCAGATATCTTTAGCTGTAATTTTGACCCTGGGTCGCCAAGTTTACCACTCACCAAGATGAAAAGTGGCAGTGTATTTTTCTGCCAGCCAGCCTGGAGGCTGCCAGCAGCACCGCTCAGCCAAGGGTTTTAACCTTGGATGTTAGCGAGAGATGACCCACAGGGCGGCAAGCAAGGGGCAGTGTGGCTGCCTTCTTATTTCTCGTGCTGTCTGGGAGTTTTCATAAATTCAAGCTAGCTTGAAATTGTGTACATCATGTTTATGCGCAGAATAAAAAACCTCCACCATGATGATAATTAACTTGGTGATTTACACAGATACTTTCACCTTCTTTATTTAATCTGAATTCAAATCTGCCCATACACTTGTCTCTCTCTAAATCTAATATTTGAAGGTCAATTTACAAACAGCGTGTGTCATCGTACGAATTCTTGCCACATGGCACCATCTGAGTCCATCTCCCAATCCCCTTTGAAAATCCAAGACAAATTTCCCTGATGGTTTGCCTTTCTACAGTCTGATAATAAGATGATCTCTAAACAGAGTTTATAACATAATCATTTTGAGATTAAAAATATCAGTCTTACATTTTGTTTCACAATGGCTGCTCCTTAAAAACCAATCCAGTTTGCTTTATTTATTGTCTTATTTGCTATAAATCTACAGCCAATTATAGCAGTTTCTCATACATTGCCCATCAAAAATGCTATACTATTTCAGCTTCTCAACTGATAGATACTCTCATAAGAAAATTAGAAAGCTCCCAACAACGTGTCTCATAGATGATTACCATGTCCTCATTTCCAAATGACAGTCATCTAAGGAAGTAAAGGGACTGAATGTGGAGTTTTATGTATGTGATGAAGAATGTTACTTTCAAAGTACAGATGCGCCCAATTTACAATGGGGTTATGTCATGATACACCCATCATTAAGTTGAAACTATCCAAGTCAAAAATGCATTCAACACACCTAACCTACAGAACCTCATAGCTTAGCCTCGCCTGCCTTAAACATGCTCAGAACACGCACATCAGCCTACAGTGGGGTAGTCATAGCACCCTGTACATTATCAGCTATTTGCCCTCATGATCATGTGGCTGACTGGGAGCTCCGGCTCAATGTCTACCCAGCATTCTGAGTATTGTAACCCATATCACTAGTTCTAGAAAGATCAAAATTAAAAATTTGAAGTACTATTTTTACTAAATGCATATTGCTTTTGCACCATCATAACGTCAAAAAATCCTAAGCTGAACTACTGTAACCATCTGTAGTTGCTAACTGATTGGCGAGGCAGGACAACAAAGACATATGTCTAAATAAACGAGAGGTTTTCTGGAGCGTCCCCATTTACTTTTTCAAAATATTTAGCAAAATATCATACATGTATTAAGCACTTTTCTGGGTGCTGCGAAACAGAGAAAAGGTCTTGGCTTTTGCTGTCAAACAGGGAAGATGTTTCAGAAAGGGGGATGCACGTGCAAAGGCACATAGGAATGAAATCACCATCTTCAAATCCGGCTTCCATTCTGCTGGGGTGTAAAGAGGAGGGCAGGAGTAGCAGAGGTGAGGCCGAGCAGGTGGGCAAGATATTGAGAAAGTCAATCCCACGAGCCCTTGGACGAGCCTGGTTGATATGCTCCCGGCACTGAGCGGCCACAGAATATGTGTGAGAGTGGCCAGCGTTTGACCTGAGAAAGTCACTGTAACTATGGTGTGGAGTGAAGCAAGATGCTTGGTGTATGCTCATTGCTATGGTCCAGAGGATAGGTGGCAAGAAGGTGGGAAAGAGACATGGGACCTGTGAGGCACATCAGGCAGGCTGGAGGGACAATCGGATTCTCAGATTCAGAAAGAGCCAAATCCAGGATAAGGCTCAGGTTTCTGGCTTAGGTAAGAGGTGCATGGTAAGGCACTTTGTGGAAATGGAGAGAGAAGGAACTGGTGAAGAAGTCAATGTGTTGACTCGACAGCCCCAGGGGCTTTCGAGTCCATGGCACACTGGGGCTCCAAGGAAATATCTATGTGAGAAATGCAGAACTTTCCTCTGTAGAAAGAGGAGAGGAGAGAGGGCTGAAGACAGAGCCCGTCATTCACAGGTGCCCACAAAGGAAACTGAAAAAGGGCCACCCTTGGCCGAGGAGACAGTCATGGACTAAACCTTGCCAATCGTGATGGAAACATGACCCGCCCATCATCAGGCTTCACCCATCATCCAGGAATGAACCGCTCTTTTTCTCTTACACCTCAACCCAGTTTTTCTTCCCCAGAGTGGAAGTAACTCCCAGACCTCAGAGCTTTCATCTCTAAGCATGGGAGTGTGCAGCTCCAGAAGACAGGGACTCTCTTTTAAAAAGCATGACCTTAGTTTCCCTCCATTTCGTGGGTCTCTGTCACATTTTCATCACCTCAAGGGACTTCTTTAGCACCTGCGATCTGTTTTCTTATGAAAGGAGGATTCAGCCATGACTCTTTGTTGTTTATGTTTATGATTATGGCATGAGTATTTTAGTAACAAGAATCTTCCTGAACATGTTGGCAGGAGCCAGGAGCCAGCATCGCTGTATAGCATCTGTTGTTTTTGCAAAGTGGTCAAAAATGGCCTGTTCTCACTCTGATCTGCCTCCTTTCCTTTCATTTTTAATTGACAAATGATAATTGTGCATATTGATGGGATACAATGTGACGTTTTGATCTATGCCTACATTGTAGAAAGATTTAGTCAAGCCAATTAACATACCTATCACCTCACCAACATATTTTGTTGTGATGAGGATGTTAAAAATTTATTCTTTTAACAATTTTGAAATAGGCAACACATTATTATCAGCTGTGATCTTCTGCTTTTATCTGGACCTTCTCCTCTCTGTTCTCATCATCCCTGTCTGGCTGTATTTGGATTCTCCTTCCAGTGTTTGCCTCCCTGTGGTTGTGTTTTAGACAGCAGCTTCCTTGTTAGTGTAATGCAGCCTGTTTCTTGTATGGATTGCTCTAAGGGACCTTGGAGAGAAGCCTTTCAGGTGTATGTTCATGTCTCTGACCTTGCACTACCCCAGTGTAGGCTCCACACAGGCATGCAAGGTGCCTTTGGAAAGGCCTGGGGCACTGTGGCCAGGGTTCACATTGGCTGAGTTATCATGTCCATCGCACCAAGCTGCAGAACAAGGAGCATGTGATTGAGGCCCTGTGCAGGGCCAAGTTCAAGTTCCCTGGCTGCCAGAAGATCCACATCTCAAAGAAGTGCAGCTTCACCAAGTTCAATGCAGATGAATTTGAAGACATGGTGGCTGAGAAGCGGCTCATCCCAGATGGCTCTGGGGGTCAAGTACATCCCCAGTCGTGGCCCTCTGGACAAGTGATGGGCCGTGCACTCATGAGGGCTTCCACTGTGCTGCCCCCTCTTAATATTCACCAATAAATTTACTTCCTGTCCAAAAAAACAAAAAAGAAGGGAGCTGAATTCCTTGATCAGGAGAGTGTATAGGCCCAGCTTCTCCCGCACCTTCAGGCTGATCACATCAGAGCCTGTAGAACAGGAACGCTGCCAACGCCCCCACAAGTGCCTGCTTGACCTGACCCACCTCCCACGGTGACAGCTGGAGGACAAGGAGCCACACCCCAGTGCAGCTGGCAGCCCCTCCTCTCCCTTCCGTTCCCTTCCCTCTGCTTCCTCCACACAAGCACTCATGCCACATTGGTCCTGGGGCTGCAGGTGTTCCCATCCTGAGTGCTTGTATTCAGGGCATGTGGGGTTCCTTACCACTCACTTGGCTCTCTGGGTGATGTTGTCTGAGTGTCTTTGGTTGTGCTATCCTAAGTGCTTTGTTTGTTTTTATGGGCAGATCCTGGAAATTCAACCCTACCAGGTTGGCCCTGCCATCCTTCCAGAATCCTCTCTAGATGAGGGCACAGGAGAGAGGAGAGAGCAGTGTGAGATGCTAAGAGAATTAATTAACACAAGTGCTGGCCGGGCGCAGTGGCTCACATCTGTAATTCCAGCACTTTGGGAGGCCAAGGTGAGCAGATCACCTGAGGTCAGGAATTCAATACCAGCCTGGCCAACATGGTGAAACCCCAACTATACCAAAAATACAAAAATTAGCTGGGCATGGTGGTGCATGCCTGTAGTCCCAGCTACTTGGGAGGCTGAGGCAAGAGAATCACTTAAACCTGGGAAGCAAAGGTTACGGTGAGCTGAGATCATGCCACTGCACTCTAGCCCAGGCATTAGAGCCAGACTCCATCTCAAAAAAAACAACAACAAAAAACATACAAGTACCATAAAAGGCTTACATTTTTCCAATTAAGCCCAGCCTAAAACTGCTTCTTTATATATTTTAAGTTTGTCCTAAAGGCTTCTACATCCATGGTGAATTATAACCAAACTGGATCTGTAAACAGGCTGTCACTGACTCTTCTCAGCAGCTGAGGCTCCGCCAAGCACAGGTGTCCAACTGCTCAAGCCATGTTCAAATAATGCAAGCACCAGCTACAACCAATACAGCTGTCTCTGTGCCTCACCTTCTTTTTTGCTCTGTTACCCAGGCTGGAGTGCAATGGCATTATCTCAGCTCACTCTAGCCTCTGCCTCCTAGGTTCAAGCAATTGTCCTGCCTCAGCCTGGGACTACAGGCATGTGCCACCATGGCCAGCTAATTTTTTGCATTTTGGATAGAGACGGGGTTTCACCATGTTAGCCAGGATGGTCTCGATCTCCTGACCTCATGATCTGCCTGCCTCAGCCTCCCAAAGTGCTGGGATTACAGGCGTGAGCCACCATACCTGGCCCTGCCTTCTCTTTTCTAACCATGAATGTTATCTCACCATGCAGCAGCCCTGAAGGCACTCTGAATCTATTCTGGTTGGGGGCCTGTCCCACTGGAACATAGCTCAACTATGTTACATTTACTGTGTCTACAGTTTTTCTTTCAACCCTCTTTCCAGCTAAGATACTATTGCTTAATGTCTATATCCACCACCGCCACCAGTTGATAAACTTTTTGAGAGAAGCTATCATATTTCATTCAGCTTTCTATCTCCAGAGCCTACTGTGGCACCCATCATGTAGGAGAGACACAATCAAACTGGGTGCATTGAATTAAAGTAATATTTCTTGCTGGAAACTGTGAATCTACCCTTTTTTTTTTCTACTGGGGCTAAACAACTGCTAGGAAATCAAAGATGGGTCAAGTTCCTATTTATTTATAGTTCCAAACAGATTTTCTTTTCCTGAAGGGAAGGAAGAGTATAATAGACAAAAGAGACCTGAGGTTACGTAATCAAGGAATTAAAATTTAAAAGACCCTAACTTAGTGATGGTGGCTTCCTGTTTTAGAAAATTAATTGGTGCAAACCTTTTCAAAAATTGCCCATTAAAAAGTCAGTGCAGCCAGACATGGTGGCTCATGCCTGTAATCTCAGTACTTTAGGAGGTCAAGGTAGGTGGATCACCTGAGGTCAGGAATTCAAGACCAGCCTGGCCAACAGGCAAAACCCTATCTTTACTAAAAATACAAAAATTAGCCAGGCATGGTGGCGCGTGCCTGTAATCTCAGCTACTCAGCAGGCTGAGACAGGAGAATCACTTGAATCCAGGAGGCAGCAGTTGTAGTAAACCGAGATCACACCACTGCACTCCAGCTTGGGTGATAGAACAAGACTTCCTCTCAAAAAAACTTCTGTGCAAAAATGATAGCAGTTATTATAATTCCTTTTGTTTCACTGCTACTATGCAGTCTCCAAACTGGCTTTGCATAGATCATCTGATGGGAGGCTCACGACATTTGCGTGAAGTTGGTGGCGAGTGAGATGAGCTACAATAATGCTAAGAGTTAATAGCTCTCAAGGGACCAGGTATGGATTCAGATTCAGTCTTCCTGGCACAGCAGACTACCTCTAAAACCTTGTTCACATAGCATAATCTCCACCCTTCCACTAGGTCAAAAATTGTCAGGAGAGCTGGAGACCGGCAAGCCAAAGCCCCAGCTGTGGCTCATGGCAAGCCTTGACCCAGTTCCTGTCAGGGAACAAGCAAGGCCTGGACCCTCAGTCCAGGGACGCCAGAGGAGAGACTGGTTCATTTTTCCTTCTTCCAATCTCTGCATTTTATTTGTCCGCACAGATATCACTCATTTTAGCTAGAGAAGCTTTTACTAGCAACTGTAACTTTTAGAGAAGTTTTGCAATAAAAACAATTTCTTTTCTTCTCAAAATGTGCAAGACACCCACCCCCATTTTCCCTGCCAATTATAAAACTGAGGTCTTCTTAGCAGAGAAGAAGAAGGGCAAGAATGGCTATTTGGAAAGCAAAGGACAATCTCTGTCATCTGTGTCCTATAAAAAAGTGCTTCTCAAACTTGAAAGAGATGAGGATCCTATTGAAATGCAGATTCTGACTCAGGAGATCCATGGAAGAGTTCCAGAGGCTGCAAGTCTCACAGCCTCCCAGGTGCCGTCAATCTTGTGGACCATATTGGTGTAGCAAGGCTCTAACCAGCAGCTGTCAGACTTAAGTGAAATCAGAATCATCTGGAGGCCTGGTTAGTGCTCAGATTTCTGGTCCCACCCTAGAGTAGCTGATCCAGTAGGTCAGGGGTGGGGCTTGGAAATTTGCATGTATGGCAAGCTCCCAGGTGATGCCAATGCTGCCAATCAAGGCACACACTTTGATAACCACAGGTCTGCTGTATTGGTTAATAATGGTTGTCAATCTTAAATAATGAGATTCAGAAAATATGTTAAATTTAGAATTTATTCAGGTGCAAAGCTTGAGGACAAGAAACACCAAACACCGCGAAACACCAAACACCGCGAAACACCAAGCAACACCGCGAAACACCAAGCACCGCGAAACACCAAACAAACACCGCGAAACACCAAACCGATGGGGTCAGTGTTCCAAAGTGGAGGGGTTAAGATTTCACTTAGATGGAAATTTTAGCAGGATTGCAACCTTTTCCATACACTACAGTGATCTGATTGATTACATATTGTTACATTCTAAAAAAAATTATTACTCCATGAGAAGGGGTAGTGATCTGAGGAGGGCTTATCTCTGGCACCATTTGGTCTTGATTATGAATGGAGAAAGCAAGGCAGGTTGCAGCTGCGTGACGCGTGACTCAGCCTGCACAGCCACATTCCTCTCATGGCTCAGGATAGTTTAAAATTCCAACAGCTTAAGTTTGAATTCTTTCAAGTTTTTATTTAATTTCACATGCTTAACGGCTATTTGCATGCTCATTTTCAGTTCTGAAGATGGAAAATTCTTAAATATTCACACTAATCAACCTCTACTTGAAACACCATAGGAACTGGAAATGTATGCATATTTATCTTCATACCCACATGGACAGTGGTGTATTGTAGCACTGGGTGTGAAGGGGAGTATTCATTTTCTTGGAGTTGTCAGTTAATAAATAATTACCTGTTTGTATCAGCTACAGTAAAATACTACATTTAGTAGCCTTTACAGTCATTCTACTGAGTTATATCAAGTTCAAAAGATGATGCCAGGCGGCCTATACCCACAAAGTGCTCAGGTAGGTGTTTCTTCGAAGATGAAGGTGCAGTTTTTCTGCACACCACCTGGGGGCAGCAGTGCTACCTGTATTTTACAACTGAAACAGAAACTAAATAAAACGTGAAAGTCAGTATCCAGCTATTGCTTTAGCAAAACTGCGTGGCCTGCATAAGAGCATAAAAATTATAGTGCATCGCAATTTGCCAGGTAATAACAGTTCCAGAGTTGAAATGTCTGAACTTGATGGGCGTGTAAGAAATAAATAAGTCTTAAAATTTCATACGTCTTAGCAAACATGTTATTTAAAATAAATGTCATAGGAATCCAATTGAAAATATTAATAAACTATGTATTTGTCATTTTGTGCAGATCACAAATATCTGCTGTGAGCAATGCCTTCAGTCACTTGCCTGAACTAGATCTGGTGCTGCCCTGAGAGGTCACTTGTGCTTCTTCCTGCTGAGGGGTGGGCATTCTTTTGCTCACACCCATCCTATCCTGGGCTTAGAGATAATCCTGTTTGTTCCTTGCCATCGCTTTAAAATCTTTATATTCCTTCTCCTGCCCTCCTCATGTCCCCCATAATCCCTGCCTAAAGGAAAAGCTTTGTGGCCCATGCTGTAGACTGTGGCACCAACCCCAACCCTTAGAGGTCACCTCTGAGGCCACTGGCCTCATTCCCTGAAGATCTCAGCACCTGGCCACTTAGCAGTCTGTCTCCCTAGCACTGCTTCTGCTGTAATTCATTAGGTGTGCATATTCCCATGGATAGTCCCTCCAATGCCTGGCCCTTCAGTGGCTCCCTCCTCTCCTCCAGGCTCCTGCTGTCCACAGGATTCCAGGAGCCACTTTCCGTCACATCATAGACAGCGTCATGATCATAACTGTGACCCTTGGTAATCTGTGTCAAGCATCCCACCCCCAACCCCACCTCCTATTTTCCGGCCATGCGCCTCCACCTCAACAAAAGTTTGATCCCCCGGGACCTACACCTCCCTGATGCTGGATTTGCAATGGTCCCTCCCTTCCTCCTTATCCTCGATTCCCTCCACACCAGCTTGGATTCCAGAGACCACCATTAATCCTTCCCCTCCATGTGCATTCAGTGCTTTTGCCCATTCTCCCACAGTCATATGAGCCAGGAAAAACCCCAAACCCCATGAAACCCAACTGTCAGTCCCTCACCGCATCCTTGCACCTGAATATACTGGAGAAAAACTCCCACCTGGTCTACTGGCCACACTTGAATGTAGGACTGCTGACCTCAAGAGGGCCCTCTGAGCTACCTGGAAATCCTGGGTTCACCGGTCACTTTAGTCTCCCTCAATCCTAGGAGACTATGTCATTCCTATTCCTCTCCCCGCAAACTTTCAACCCTTCTCCCAGCCTCACTCTCATCTGATGACCTAACTTGCTTTTTCACTGAGAAAACCAATCAACAAACGTCATCAGCATCTACTCACCTTCCCGTGTCTAGACCCACATCTGGCCTTCCCTCCTTTTACTGCAGACGAACTGTTTGTGCCAACTGTTCATGAACCGACCGAGGCCAAATCTTCTGGGGCACTAAATCCATCCCTTTTTGCTGTCTCAATTCTCTCCTCTTCCTCCAGGGCATCACGGGATCTCCCCTCTCCTGGATCACCCAGCCAGGATGAAAACAAGCAGGCACTTATCTCATCCTGGGAAAAAGATAGGAATGAAAGGAGGGAGGGAAATAGGGAAGAAGGGAAGGAAGAGAAGCAGGGAGGGAAGGAGGGAGGTGAGAGGAAGTGAGGGAGGGAGGGGAGAGGGAGGAAATTGGAAGGAAGGAAGGAAGGAAGGAAGGAAGGAAGGAAGGAAGGAAGGAAGGAAGGAAGGAAAGAAGGAAGGAAGGAAAGAGGGAGGGAGAGACAAGAGAGGAAGGGAAGGAAGCCTTTCTAAACCTCACACTCCAGTTTCTGCTCTGTATCTCCTTTGGGTCCTCTTTAAAGAAAACCTTCTTAAAGAGTTCTCTATACATGTCACTTCCACCTCCTTGCCTCCCATTTCTCTGAAAATCGCTCTGTTCAAGCTGTTACTCCCACTGCTCCGCCAAATCTGCCCTGGTCGCAGCCCCCACTGCCCCACACACAGCTGAAATCAGCCCCGCGGTGACTGGCCTCCCACAGCGCTGGGCACAGCTGGCAGCCAGCTCTCTGTTGAAAGGCTCCATTCCCCCGACTTTCAAAACAACGTTCCTTCCTGACTCTCCTCTTGCCTCCTGAAAGCTCTTTCCCCAGTCACTCCTCATCTCCCTGAGTGTTCTCAGCGCCAGAGTGCAGCCTTGGTCTCTTCTCCCTTCTGCTCGCACCTTGTCCCTGAGTGATAGCTTCTGCCTCCTGGCTCTCATTGCTGTCCTCTATTGACAACGACTGAATGGAGTCTTTACCCTGGAGCCCTCCCTCTTAACGTGCGTCTGCAGCCTCCTACGCAACGTCTCCTTTCAGAAACTACCCCCAGTTCTACATGGGCTTAAACCTGTTTCTTGTAGTCTTCTCCATCCTGGTGGATGACAGCAATATCCTTGGGCCAGGGGTCCTCTCCACATCAATCCTCCGCACATTCTCCCAGCTCTGTCTCAAAGGAGCACCTTCTCCCCACCTCCCGAGCCCCACTTTGTCCTGGTTTATCATAACTGCCTTGTGCCTGCTTCTTCCTGTCCCAGCCCTACCCCGCAGGCTGTCCTCAAGAAAGCAACAACCAAGAGCTTCTAAAAATGCAAGTCACCCATGTTGCCCTGCTGAAACCCCTCCCAGCTCATCTCCCTTAGGGCTGAAGTGGGAGTTCTAACTGTGAGCCAGTCTTGCAGAACCTCGTAGCCTTCCCCGTCTCCCTGGCCTCTCTCACCTGTTTCCTGCTTCTCTCTCTAGCCGTGCTCCCCATGTTCCTTTCTCAAGCTCCGACCCCTCCAGGGCTCTCCTCCCACATCTTAACAGGCTCCCACCCCTATAAAAAATTACCATAGACTAGAGGCTTAACAGACACGGGCTGGGGGCGGTGGCTCAGCCTGTAATCCCAGCACTTTGCGAGGCCGAGGCGGGCGGATCACGAGGTCAAGAGATCGAGACCATCCTGGCCAGCATGGTGAAACCCCGTCTCTACTAAAAGTACAAAACATTAGCCGGGCGTGGTGGTGCGAGTCTGCAGTCCCAACTACTCGGGAGGCTGAGGCAGGAGAATTGCCTGAAACCGGAAAACAGAAGTTGCAGTGTGCCGGGATCGCGCCCCTGCGCTCCAGCCTGGCGATAGAGAGAGACTCTGTCTCAAAAAAAAAAAAAAAAAAAAAAAAAAAACATGTAGTTTTCAGTTCCGGAGGTGAACATCCAGAATCAAGGTGCAGCAGATTTTGCGCCTGCAGAGAGCCCATTTCCTGGGCTGTGGGCGGCCGCTTTCTTGCTGCATCCTCGCAGGGCTGAGACAAATGTCCGGCAGCCTCCTCTTTTTACACAGACACTAATCTTACCATGGGGTGTCTTCCTCATGACCTCATCTCACCCCAATCAGCTCCCAAAGGCCCACCTCCCAATACCATCTCATTGGAGGGCAACGTTTCAACATATGAATTTTGGGGGGACCCAAACATTCAGTCCATAGCACCCCATATGCCCTCATGTGAACTTGCTCTAAATGTGCCTTCTGTGGCAGCCACAACAGTGGCACTTATACCCCTATCAATAGAGAACCTGCCAACAGGTCAGCAAGGGGTGCCCCCAGCCAGTATCAACCAAGGACAGAGTGTGGTAGAGGCACCAGGGCTCACTGATTCTGGCCAGTGTAGAACTTCTGCCCCAGAGCTCCCCGCCAGGTGGCTGGGACTTGCTCTGAGCTGTGCAGAGGCTCTTGGCTCACAATCCTCCCTCCTGCCTTCCCTCCTCTCCCGGGGTCACACCTGCATGGCCCCCTCCTGCTCCCTCTCTCCTATACCCTCCATAGCTGCCTCCCCCAAAACATCTCTTGCACGTCTAGCTGTTTCTTGGTGTTTGCTTCCAGGTAACTCAAACCACTGCACTGGCCAGATCACTAAGCATGAAACAGCAACTGCCTTCTCCTGCTTACTTTCTGCCTCACCTGCTTTCTTGACCCCATAGCACCTCTCTCCAGCTGACACACCCACCCTGTTGTCATCCTTCACTCAGGAGAGCACAGACTCCACCAGGACACAGCTTACTCTGTGCTGCTCACTGCACAGTCCTCACCACAAAAGCTGAGCCCAGTATACAGTGAGTGCTCAAAAGCCACTAGGCAAATGAATGAGTAGGTGCACCTAAAAATAGCAAATTCCTAGAGTCCTAAATATTTGATGTCACATATAACTGCTTCTTATTTATCAATTTTAGCACAAGAATTTAAAATCCCACCTGCCTCTAAAAACTGTGCTCATTAGGAAGTCCTTGCTGGTGTGCAGGAAGAGGGCAGGAACTATGTTTCTTTCTTTTCTTTTTTTTTCAGATGGAATTTCACTCTGTTGCAAGGCTGGAGTGCAGTGGCACGATCTCGGCTCACTGCAACCTCCATCTCCAGGGTTCAAGCGATTCTCCTGCTTCAGCCTCCCAAGTAGCTGGGACTTACAGGCATCCGCCACCACGCCTGGCTAATTTTTGTATTTTTAGTAGAGATGGGGTTTCATGTTGGCCAGGCTGGTCTCGAACTCCTGACCTCAGGAGATCTGCCTGCCCTAGCCTCCCAAAGTGCTAGGATTACAGGCGTGAGGCACCATTCCCGGCCGAGGGAATTATTTTTCACCAGGGTTTGCTGCAGTAGCATCTGGAACCCAGAGGAGGTGAAGCTGTGGCGACAGCTCTCCTGAGAAGATCCATCAGCACCATTGCATGTTCACACTGGGCCTTTTCCTCTCCACATCCCTTTCGCCCTGAATATCTGAGCTGAGCCTTCGTCTCAGGACTTGGACTTTGCTCCATGGAACGTGCAAGTCTAGCAGCCTTCAGTCACCTCAGACAGAGCCAGTTTGACCCAGGCCGTCCTGTTCATGTTGATTAGATCAGGGTCCTCCCCACCCCTAGATGGTCATGGGCAGCCTCTAGGCCACACAGTCAACAAGCAGGAGCTATGGAAAAGGATGACCACATTGAAAAATAGAACAATTTTTGTTTGAGTCCTTCTTATATTTAAACTCCCAGATAATCTCCAACTGCAGTGATAAGAACAATGGTTACCACATGTGTTAATCACCATGAGAGGTGTTTCCTGGGAATTAATGAATTCCTAGTTCAGCAATGTTGCGGAAAAGTCTGATTTTAATAAGGTAGAAAATTCAAACATTCACCATCACCCTTCCTTCCACAGGTTAGTGATCAATCCTGAAGGTCAGATGGTTCCAACGCTTCTGACGGCTCATGGCTTCCAACAACTGGTATTCGAATGTGACCCATGTGCTCGGCTCTCGCCCTGTTCTCGGGCCTCAGTTGCTCTCCACGAGGCCTTCGTTTCTTTAACCCTCCACTCTGAAATCCAGAATATGTGCCTTCAAGTCTGAGTTATTCTGTCTGGCATGGTACACTTGAACTACAAACACAGCAAGATGGCCTTTGACAGCTGGAGTCCTTCAGGGTGGGCACAGGTAGGCGAAGTCAATCCCCTCTGAGGCCCCAGCTGCACGTGAATTATAGCTCAGTGACTTTGCTACTTTTTTCTTCCAGTTGTCCAGAGGGTAACTCCTAGCATCACACATATATGTGCACACACAGGCACACACACACACTTATGCACACATACAGGCGCATGTGTGCACACACAGACGCTTACTGTCTCACACACACACACTTACTGTCTCACACACACACACATACACTCTTTCCAATGGCAGGCAGCCATTTCTCCATGTAGCAGCACAGGCTGTCCCCTAAGGAAGGAACAGTTTCCTAACCATTCCTCGCTCTGTGAAACCACTTTGCACACAGTGCAGTTAGTACTTCACAAGGCTTCACAGGATTTTGCAGAGTAGGGGTGGTTCCTTTTCTTTTTCTCTTGGTGTGTTTTTAAATTTGCTGACTGGGTGCTAGAAATAAGAAAAGAACTTGAACAGCCAAGCAGAAACTTCTAAAGGGCCAGTCCACAGCCGCAGAGAGATGCAGTGGGAGACTCTGATTCCTTTTTTGTGAGAATCCAGTTAAATTATTTGACAAGGTGTCCCCCAGTCTTACCTCCAGTATCTGGTTGAAATGCAGGCTGATGGCTTTGTCCTTCCAGGTAACGTTATACACAGCAGGTATACAGAAGGCAGCGTTCAGTCTATCCCAAGGAAATGCTATCTTTTTCTCAAAGGATAACGCTTTTGAGAGTCCTGCTTCGGGAATAGTCAGGTCCTGCATGATGCAGGGGAGCTGAGAACACAGCCAGGGCCCTGAGAGGAGTTGGCATCTAGGAAAAATGATGCAAAAGCCAGTGTTGACAGCTGGTGTCTTAAAGAAAACCCCCAAAACTCTGATTCTACAAATACATATTATCCCAATGAGGAAATTAGGAGTTAAGATACCCAAAACAGAGAATGTCATTGAATCAAGGAGACCTCCGAAACACTTAGGAATAAAAGAGACGTGTATAAAGTCGTGCAGGTAAAGCTTGTAGTCAGATCAGTTCAGTGAGGTCTGTTCACGGGTCAGAAAAATGGTGCACAGTGAAGGCAAGAGACGATGTTAGGGCATATTCACGGGAACCCTGGGCTGGTAGAGCTCAACCGGTAAGGCAAGTGAGCTGCAGCATTATTTGGGGGGTCTGCTGGGTGGCAGGGCCCCTGCTACTGGTTGAGGCATAGGTAAGGGCCACAGCCCTTTGGAAGGAGTTGGGCAGTCTGCCTCAGAGGCCTCCTAAAAATAACACATCAAGCAAAGGGATGAGGGAGGCAGTGCTGGAGCAGTGCAGCAATCCACGTGTCTCTGGAAGCCCTAATTTGCTAAACAGAAAGCTATGCCGGGAGTCTACTATCAGGAGTGTTTAGTAAGCAACAAAAGGTGCTGCTACTGAGAACCCAGGTTTAAGCAAATGTGCCAACGTGAACATTCAGAGAGAAATGGACCAGTCGTCTTAGGTGAATAATAGTAAAAGGAGGGAACTCTGGGTTGTGGTCAAACATGAACCATAGAAAGCATGATGGATACTCACCACCACCAGCTTTCCTGTTATTCTGGGACTCGGAAGACAGCACTGGCAGCCCCCTCGCACTTGGGAGGCCATGTGACTAGGTCTGTCTGAGGAAGGGTGGGCAGAAATGGCACGGGTTATTTTCAGGTGGAGGTGGTGAAGAAGCCATGCCTTACTCTGCTGTGTCTCTGGCCAGAGAAAAAAAGGTGGATGGAGCTGGATCCCTGAGTCTCTGTATGGAGGACATGACCTTGAAGAGCAGACCAAACCCACAGTGAAGTGAGAACTCGCTCTTCTGTGTACGGTTGTAAGACGTGGGGCTTGTGTGTTGGGCTGGGGCATAGTCTAAACTAACTAATATAGCAGGTTTCAAGACGTTCTAAACTCATTAAAGTATAGGCCCATGCCTAGAAATTCCAAGAGAGAAAGAAATCTCACATCATTAAAGGGTCTTAAAGAAAACCCCCAAAACTCTGACTCTACAAATACATATTATCCCAATGAGGAAATTAGGAGTGAAGTTACCCAAAACAGAGAATGTCATTGAATCAAGAA